CTAGTGGGATGGGAAGACTAACAGATATTTATAGTGTATCAATGAGTGTTAGAAGACAGATGTGTTGGGATGAGTTTGGATAAGGCTGCTGTGACAGAGTCCCAACATTAATCCAGCTACTTAAAGATGATAGACGTTTTGCGCCCCCCCCTCCCCATAACAGTTTTGATGTAAACAGTCCACAGTGTGGGTAACTCCGCTCCACCTGGCTATACTCTAGAGACCTGTGTGCCTCTAGCCTGTGGCTTTGTAACTTGAGGTCTCATCCCTAGCAGCCTGGTTGAGGCTCGCTCACTTAGGACAGTGGGCTTTTTGCATTTTGATTTGCATTTCCCTAATGATTACTGATGTTGAGAATTACCATATGATCCTGCAGTACCACCACTGGGCACCCATCCCAAGAAAATGCTGAAGAGACACCTACAATACCATGAGTATTGCAGCACTCAGCAGCACAGTATCCAAGAAATGGAAACAACCCAAATGTCTGTCAGCCCATGAATGGATAAAGAAAATGTACACACACATGAGGGAATATTATTCAGCCATAAAATGGAATCAAGTTTTGTTGTCTGCAACCAGTGGGTGGGACTGGAGGACATTATTTTACATGAAAGAAGCCAGGCATTGAAAGACACATGTATCACTTACCTCAACCATGTGGAATCTCAAAGTATTGACCTAGAAGTTGAGAGTAGAATGGTGGTTACCAGAGACTAAGGAGGAGGTTAGGTAGATGGGAGTGGTGGGCAGAGGTTGATTAGTGGATGCTGATTTGTAGTAGATCCTGGTGGTAGTCTGGTGGGCTATTGCACAGTGGGGTGACTGTAGATAATGATAATGATCTATATATTTCAAGAGGCTAGATGAAAGAATTTTGAATGTTTCACTGTAAAGAAATGGTAAATGAAATAGATATATTTAGTCTGATTTAAACATTACACAATGTGTACATGTATTGGAACATCACATGGTACCCCATGGATGTGTACATATTTTTGTTTCTATGTATCAGTTAAAAATGTAAAGTAAAAATAAAAAGTCTGGGCTCTACCACAGAGTTGGGTTGGTATCTGTTAATTTTCAAATCACCGACAGGTTCACAGGCTGCAGGAGTGCTGGGGGACTGGGGGACAGGAGGGTTTCAGCTTCCTGATAAGGGCAGAGATTGTCGTAGGTTAGCACATACACTATCACTTCCACTCACGTTTCTTTTGCGAGAGCTTTGTCATATGGTAGAGGTCACTGCAAGGAGATGGATTGGGGTAGAAGTGGGACGGTGGCTGGGAGCCTTGCCCAGTTACAGTTCTGTTACAAAGGAAGATCAGGGCAGGCCTCAAGAATAAATTTTCTTGGTATCCTAAAGAGAAAGTGTGAACAAGCCCCCACCACCACTGTCCCCCAGGGATTGAACCCACAGGCTCTCTACCACTGAGTTGCATTCCCAGCCCTTTTTAAAATTTTGATACAGTCTTAAGTTACGCAGGCTGGCCTCAAACAAGATCCTCCTGCTTCAGCCTCCCAAGCCTCTGGGAATACGGCTGAGTGCCACTGTGCCCAGCTCAGTACTGGCTCCATGCTAGATTAGGAGAGTGTTTGCAAAGTAAAGAAAGGGCAGGCTCACTCTTTCAGTAAAGATGGATGGGTCGCCTGGCTTTGTGCTAGGCTTTGAATTTCAGAGAGGGTGAAGTGGGCCGGAGTAGATGAGGTAGCTAATTAAAACGTGTTTCCTGTGTTAAGATTGTGGTGACTGAGGTCAGGGTTCAGGAGTCGGCTTACATTCCCCTTGCCACACTTCCCAGCTGTGTGAGGCTAAGGGCCTGGCTTCTCCTGGACAGGGCCTAGTGTGAGGGAGCACTTTGCAGACATCACTGTGGCCACCTTGTTGCTCCTTTGTAAAGCACTGCTCCTGGGAAACAGAATCTGCTGTGGGCCGGCTGGTTGTCAGTCATCTGGCTGCTACTTGAACACTCAGATGTAGAACCTGTGTCCTGTGTTCTCACCTGCAGAGGGATCGTCCCATGCAGGCTGGCATGTCACAGAAAGCCAGAGCACCCTGGAGGACGCCCAGGGTCCAGGGAATGGGAGTGCTCCCTAAAAAGCAGTACTGACCATGGTGGGGAGTCGATACCGCTCTGCGCAAAAGGTGGGGTGTGTAAGTGCTGAGTGGCTACTGGGCTTTCTGTCATGTCGACACTGCGCACGTCACTACTTAGTGCTGTCACTCAGAACTGTGATGTTATTTTACAGCTTACTCCTTAGACTAGATAGAAGCCCCTTGGGGGAGGAGCTAGTCACTGTCCCCTGACTCTCCAGCACTGGATGAGCCGGTAGTGTTGGCTTGTTAGTGGATAAGTAATGGCTTGAGAACCATGGCATTGTGGAAAGGAGGTGGATTTTAGAGTCAAAAAAAGAAATCTGCTTTAAATTCTTCCTAGTTCAAGGACAGGATACGAAAAAGTAAGTACCAAGAAAAAGAATGTGGACTAATACATCCACACTTAAAGTTTCTAACAGTAGTAATTAAAATAGTTCTGCTTAATCCAAGAACCAAGCTACACAAAATAACACACCCTGAATATTTCCTTTGATCTATATTTTACTGCATTTCTTTTCTCTGCATTAATAGGTAGTGGAGAAGAAGTCAGGTCCTGCTGAGTGATGGAATATTTACAGATGTTAATATTAGAGTGCATTTTCTAATTGAAAAGCAATGACAGGGCTGGGCTGGGGCTCATTGCAGGGCACTTGCTTAGCATGTGTGAGGCGCTGGGTTCGATTCTCAGCACCACATATAAATAAGTGAATAAAATAAACATCATCAACATCTAAATTATTTTTTTAAAAAAGCAATGACAAAGTAGGAGGAATTAATATTGAATAAATACAGTGAAGCTCATTTTGGAGAGGTCTGCATGTAAACAGCAAGTGAATTCTTGGTGGAGAATAACCCCACCTTCTACGCCTGACATTTAAGGTGCAGGTCCCAGTTCCACATCAGATCACTTACAGCCAGCAGTAGCCGACTCCCGTTCCTCCTGATGGGCGTCCTTGTTGTCCTCCCAGCAGTGTGTTTTGCAGGTTATGCAGCCCTGCCACACCCTGTGTGTTCCCACCGTGCCTGGTGAGAGGCAGATTGTAGCTGATGATGCTTACCACCATCACTGTGGATGGTGTCTCCTGCCAGGCAGCTTTTCTGACCTCTGGGCGACCTTACCAGTAGTGAACAATGCTAGGCCATTTAAATCTTCTGATTCCAGAAAGAGCACTTGTATTTTGGAAAACACTAATCCCCCCCCCCCAATAATTTTTTTCCCAAAACTTTTGAATTAATTGCATATGCTTAAGGGGTTAGAGTAGTGGACTAAGCATGGTCTTTGGAGCTTAAAATTCTGGCTCCCATGCTGTGTGACTATAGAAAATTATTTGATTTTTCTGATTTTTTTGTTTCCTTGCTTTTAAAATGAAAACTTTCCTCATATGAAAAATAGTATTTTTCCAGGGAAGCAAGAGTATTTTCGATTAATGGAAGCCATCGTAACTGCTTAATAAATGGCAGTTACTATTTGTCATCCTTTTAGAATGAGGGGAAATTATATGAAATAATTTCCACTTAGTGAGTGCCTGCACTGTGCAGGCGTACGTTGGCTCCTCCTGTGTCCTGATTGCTCCATTAGTCCTCAAACGATACTATATAGTTTTTGTTACGGATTTGACAGCAGTGGCCCATCTGCCTGATGGGCAGCTGGTGAGTGGCAGGCCCTAGGCCAGAACTTGGATCGAGGACACGTTTGCTGTGAGGCTCTTATTCCAGTGTGTGCATATATGTTGATAGGTGCTTATTTTTTTAATATCAATTTTAAGTTGTAGTTGGATGCAATACCTTTATTTTATTTATTTATTTTTATGTGGTGCTGAGGATCAAACTTGGGCGTGCTAAGCAAGACTCTGCCACTGAGCCACAACCCCAGCCCGATAGGTACTTATTTTTGAAATGAGCAAAAACATATAATGAAAAGTATATTTTGTGGGTTTCTGAGTTAGATGTTAATAAAAGACTCACTTTTTTTTTTAGAATTATGTGTTGGTTTTATAAACTACTTATTCTAGAATGCAGAATGGAACTTTTAAAAACTGATAATATAAGCAGGCAAAAAGAAAAGTTATTGCCTTTGTTTAGGCTGGGAAGTGTAAGATTTTAATGATCACTGTTTCTCTTTTGGGAGGGAATTAATTTCCACAGACTTAGTTTTAGGCAAATAAACAGATTTAAAAACCTTTTCTATGTAATTTTCTGACCCTTAAACTTGCTATTTTAAATTTTTCTTTATAAATTTTTTTTTTGTTACAAAATTAACAATTTCCATTGTAGAAATTGGGAAAGTATTTTGCCAACTTAAATCTTGAATTCAAATCCGTAGGAGGAAAGTTCTGTCAGTACTTTCAGTCCTTACTTTTCTCCCTTGGGCAACTCCCTTCAGGAGGGGCTCCCTCTCTTCCCCTCTGGACTGGTTGCACTTCTGCTCTGCTGACTGCAGTCTCTACTTGTTCTGACTGTGTACAGGAACAAAATGCTTTATTTTCTGAATCCTGTGCCATTCCTTCTTTGGTTAGACTTCTGTTTTGCTGAAGCATATGTCTAAATAACTTCCTAAGAAATTAAACTTTCTAAGTAAATTTCAGTCTTAAGTGTTTGGAGATGTCATCACGGAACTGCAGGTTGTCAGTGACTCCCGGTGTAACGTAGGGTTGTGCCATTACTTTACATCATGCTGCTGGAAGTGTGATGCTAGTCTAGTTTTCGTGGCTTTGTAGTTGATCTGATTGTTCTCGAAGATTACTTAAGTTCTTCTGTTTATCTTGCACTGCATGTTATTGTGTCTATATGGATAACTTGGTAAATTTTTGCAATGCAAAGATTCATGCTCTTTAGTTCTGGGAAATTTGCTGATTTTTTTTTTTTAAATATTTTCTTCTTTCTTTGTTTTTTTTTGGAATTCTTTATTTGTTAGATGTTGGACCTTTTGGATAAATTCTGTCACAACATGTTCTGTTGTATTACCCATGTCTTTGAGAGACTTCCTCCTATCATTAACCATTTGACAGGTGATGACTGAGCCTTTAGAGAATTCCAGTCCCTCATGCCAAGTAGAGCTCCAGTTGGTTGTCTCTATTTTTTTTTTAATTTTTTTAATATTTAGTTATCAGTGGACACAACATCTTTGTTTGTATGTGGTGCTGAGGATCAAACCCGGGCCACACGCATGCCGGGCGAGCGCGCTACCGCTTGAGCCACATCCCCAGCCCTGGTTGTCTCTATTGAACCTTGCCCCAAATGCAGATTTTTAGAGCAAAAGAAATGTTGTTATTATCTTAAGCCACCATGTTCTAGAGTAATGTTTATGTTGAACTTTTTTTTTGCAGGGGGCGGGGGTTCCCAAAACCCCAGGGGTGCCTAACCACTGAGCCACATCCCCAATCCTTTCTATTTTTTACTTTGAAGCAGGGTCTTGCTAAGTTGCTTAGGGCCTTGCTAAGTTGCTGAGGCTGACCTCAAACTTTGTATCCTCCTTCCTCAGTCTCCCAAGGCGCGTGTTACAGGTTTGGGCACTGAGCTTGGCTAATGTCATCAAAGCTTTCTTTTTGGCAATTATGTGTTTAAAAAATGTTGAACTTTAATTTCTATGTGGTGGAATGCACAGAGCCTCCATGTACAGTTTGAACAATACTCACAAACGCATGTGCTTGTTACCCATGTCCTCTGAAAACCTTGTGAAAGAAAATGTGGTAGACCCAGGTGAGAACAGTGCAGCATTAGACGATGAGTTGAAAAGAAACTGGCAGGATCTCTTTTACATTTGGGTATAATCTGAATACGACGGGAAACCATTGTACTTTATTTTAGAATAAACCCTTTATTTTAGAATGATTTTACTTCACACAAAGTTGTGAAGATAGTACAGAGAATTCCCATAGTAGTCCTCTGACGTAACCCTTTTGTTACTATGTTACATTAGTATGGTCATTTACCACAACTACTGAACCAGTGTTGGTACATTACTAACCAAACTGTATACTTTGTTTAGATTTCTTTATTTCTTTTTGGTGGGTTGGGGTGGGGCTGCTGGGAATTGAACCCCGGGCCTTGTGCTTGCTAAATAAGGACTCTACCACTGAACCACATTTCCAGCTCCTTTTAAAAAAAATTTATTCTGGGACGTTTTTTGCCAAGTTGCCTGGGCTGTTGGTGGACTTGTGCTGCTCTGTCCTGAGCCTGCTGAGTGACGGGATCACAGGTGTGCACCCCTGCACCTGGCTGGGTGGTTCATTGGGATTGGGGCTTCAGCAGAGAGCTTTGGGGAACACAGACCCTTAGCCTGTAACAGGATCCTTTTTGTGTTCCAGGATCCTTTGCTGTTGCCATTGCATTGAGTCTTCTTGTCTCCTTAGGTTCCTCTAGATGGTGACAGTTCCTTAGGCTTTCTCTGTGACAGTTTTGAGGGATGTTGCCGAATGTCCCTCACGCTGGGTTTGTCTGAGGTTTTTCTACAGTTTGGGCATGTGTTTGGGGTTGTATTAAACTGCAGTAGAAATATTGTGTAGGCCATTGAAGACTGAATCTGACCTCAGGGTATGTGGCAGGGCTCAAGATTCAATTTGGGGGTTACACATTGTATCTTTAAATAATTCCATTGTGCTTTCAGGCTACGGATTTGGTTTGGTAGAATAAAGTGCCCAGGCATAATTTGGTCAGAGTGATGAAAAAGACTGACATCACACAAATGTTAATAAACACGATGAGAAACAATATAGATAACCTTTTAATCAGCATTGGTGGCCTCTCTGTATGATTTTGAGTCCCGGCTAGTATAGCAAGTTGAGCAGTGGACAATTTAGTTTGATTTAGATACTTCAAAACTACTGGGAAAGAGGCAGTGTCCGTTTCTTCCCCAAGGAGCAGTGTGTGTCTGGCCTTGGGGACAGCCGCGTACCAGTGCCTCTTGTCTCCTTCTTTCCAGAGGGTAATCAGTCAGGAGCAGGGGCTTCCCTAGATGCGGGTGGTGACGGCTCTAGCTTTCATGCTTGTCCAGGTGGAAGCCAGTCTTGGCGCCTCTGCCTGTGTCCTTCTACTTTGCCTTCTCCCTTGTCCCCTGGGGAGGGCTGGCTTTCTGTCTTGAAGTCTCTCATTGTGATGATGAAGATGGGGAGACTATAACATTTATATTATTTGGCTACATAATAGGACTTTAACATATATGGCAGTTTTGAAAAATGATATTATGTTTGACCATAACCATTGAGAACTTAAATTTTAAATTGCTACATAGAAGCAGACCTATTAACTTTATTTATTTTTTATTTTTTTAAATATTTATTTATTTATTTTTTAGTTTTCGGCGAACACAACATCTTTGTATGTGGTGCTGAAGATCGAACCCGGGCCGCATGCATGCCAGGCGAGCATGCTACTGCTTGAGACACATCCCCAGCCCTTATTTTTAGAAAATAAAATTTTAAGTTAATATTATTAGAGGAATTTATGGGTCTTTCCTTTTCTTTCCCCCCAAACTCTATTTATTTTTAGAGAGTTTGTACTGGCCCATCATCCCTTTTCTGGGGAGTTGATTTTAAGAAAGTTTTGCAGTGGCTGGGGCTGTGGCTCAGCGGTAGCGTACTTGCCTGGCATGTGTGAGGCACTGGATTTGATTGTCAGCACTGTGTATACATAAATAAAATAAAGGTCTATCAACTACACACACACACACATATATATATTCAATTTTGCAGAATATCTACAAGCATTGTGTACATAGAGGGTGATGAAAAAACTGTGCCCGTCTCTCTGGCTTAGGAAAACCTCTTCCGACTTTGTGTGCCCCTTCTAGACCCTTGTTCCAGAGAGGAGCAGCTTGGAGATAGGGTACGTGTCAATTCTTTGCTTTTCTTCAAACCACAGATGTGCATGTGTGTGTGGTAAAAATGACAGTTTCTCATCTTTGCCATTTTCAGCATACAGTTCAGCAGTGATGAGTGCAGTGCACCTGATCTCCACAACTTGCATTTTGCAAAACTGAAATTGCATGTTCATTGAATAGCTGCCCATTTCCTCCACCCCAGCCCCTGGGAACCACTGTTGTACTTCCTATTTTTATGAAATTGACTATTCTAGATACTGCATTTAAGTGGAAACCTATAGTTTGTCTTTTTCTGACTATTTCAGTAGCATGATGCCTCAAAGTTTATCATATGTATCATGTTGTCATATGAACTTGAATTTTCTTCTTTTTAGAGGCTGAATAATATTCCATTGTAATAAGGTCTTATTCAAGTGTGAATGAATTGATAACATTTTATTTATCATTTGCAATTTTTTGAACCTCGTGTAGCAAATTTTTCTTTTTGTGTCCATCATAAAGGTATGCTCTTGTATTGTCTCTTGTTTTTGGTACCAGGGATTGAACCCAGAGACATTAACCACTGAGCTACATCCCAGTCCTTTGTAATTTTTATTTTGAAACAGAATCTTACTAAGTTGCTTAGGGCCTTGCTAAGTTGCTGAGACCGGCTTTGAATTTATAATTCTCCTGCTTCAGCCTCCTGAGTTGCTGGGATTACAGGTGTGCAACTGTGCCTGGCTTGTATCGTCTTTTTAAAAAACAATTTTCCTAACTTTAAAATATGTTATATTTACAGAAAAGTTAAAAGTATAGTTCAGAGAATTTTTTCCCCCCTGAACTGTTTGGAAATAAGTTGCTGACTTGGTGTCACATCACTTCTGAATATTTTTGTAGCATTTCCCATAAACAAGGGAATAATTCTTTATAACCCCCAGATGACCATCAGAAATTAGGAAATATATACATTTCTCCCTCAGATCTTTAGACCTCTTTCAGATACTACCACTCATCCCGCCAGGCCTTTTAGCAAACGAGTCCAGTTCAGCGTCACAGTTTGCATTTATTTCTCAAATCTCTTCAGTCCCCCTGTGTCTAGGACGTCCCTTTGTTGAACTGGAAAATATCCTTTCCTTTTTTTTTTTTTTATTTTAAAGAAAGTGTGTAAAATCGGTTTTAATTGTTTTCTAAATATTTGGTAGAATTTTCCAATAAAACCATCAAGGCCTGGACAATTTATTTTTTAGAACATTTTAAATTACAGATTTCGTAATTCTCATCGAATAAATAATAGTAAATTCAGATTCCTGTTGGGTGAATTACAGCAGTCTGTGCTTTTTATGGAGTTGGTACCTTTCACCTAAGAAATCCCTATTTCTGGCATAAATGCCCTAGGGGGACCTGTGGTCGTGGGGTCTAGGGATGTGACAGTGCTTTGTAACTGCATGGACGAGGAGTGCTGAGGGGGACACACACACTGTCTCTCTCCATCTTGATAAAAGAGATCATTTTATGAAATATTTTATGGGTGTGTGTGTAGTTTTTTTTTGGTGATAGAGAGGACTGAGGCCAGGAACTCGTGTGCTGAGTTATAATACCCAACCCTGTAAAATAGTTATTTTGAATATGGTCTTGCTAAGTTTCCCAGGCTGGCCTTGAACTTGCTGGCCTCCTCCCTCTGTCCCCCAGGTAGCTGAAATTACAGGTGGTGCCACCATGTTCCTGAAAGCTGTAGTCATTATTTAAGGGTAATACATGGGCAGAAGTAAAACAGGGTCAGAGCCTCTTGAGAGAGGTCCAAGACAAGAAGATAATTCAACAGGCAATTACTTTTTAAAAAACTAATATTTATTTATTTTTATTTTTATTTTTTATTTTTATAAGGTGCTGAGGATCGAAACCAGGGCCTCACATGTGCCAAGTGAGCATTCTACCACTGAGCCCAAGCCTCAGCCCACATAGTGTATTTTTTTAAAATTGTTTTTAGTTGTAGATGGACACGATATCTTTGTTTATTTATTTGTTTGTTTGTTTGTTTGTTTATTTATTTTATGTGGTGCTGACAATCGAATCCAGTGCCTCACACATTCCAGGCAAGGACCAGCCCCCACATGGTGATTTTTAACGGCTTTATCAAGATATGATTTGTTCTGGGCATGGTGGTGCTTGCCTGTAATTCCAGCAGCTTGTGAGGCTGAGACAGGAGGACCACAAGTTCAGAGTCAGTCTCTGCAACTTAGTGAGGCCCTAAGCAACTTATTGAGTCCCTGCCTCAAAATAAAAAATAATAAGAGCTGGGAATGTGGCTCAGTGGTTAAGTGCTCCGGGGTTCAATCCCAGCTATCTGGAGACTAAGGCAAGAGGATCAAAAGTTTGAGGCTAGCCTCAGCAATTTAGTGAGGCCCTAAGCAATTTAGCAAGACTCAGTCTTGGGTTTGTGGATCAGTGGTAAAGAGCCCCTGGGTTCAATCCCTGATTAAAAAAAAAAAAAAGCAAACTAACTCTCCCCACAACAGGGAGTTTAAAAAAAAAGAAAAAAGAAAAAAAAAGGGTATACAATTCAGTGGTTTTAATATACTCACAGAATTGTGCAACTATCACCACTGATGAATCTGGACCACTTTCATCATGAAAAGAAAGACCACTACTAATGTACTTTCTGTCTACAGAGATGCCTGTTCTAGACGTCTCATAAAATGCCTTTGTGTCTGGCTTCTTCCACTTAATGTAGAGTTTTCAGGGGTTCTCCATGTCTTGGCATGTATCAGAATGCATTTCTTATTATTGCCAGATAATATTCCAGTATATGGATATTCTACATTTATTTATTCTTTCTCAGTGAGAGAGATGAATACCCTTAAATAACAACATTGGGGTGTTTCCACTTTTGGCTATTGTGAATAATGCTGCTGATAACACTTGTGTAGAAATTTTTGGGTGTATTTAAGTTTTCAGGTGTTCTTGCATATGTATGTGGGAGTGGAGTTTCTGGGTTAAACGGCAGCTCTGTGTTTAGTATTTTGAGGAGCTGGTTTCTAAAGTGGCCTGTTCTGTCTTACTTTCTCACTAGCAATGTGCGAAGATCCCAATTTCTCCACATTCTATCAACACTTATTATTATGTGTCTTTTTGATTGTAGGCCATGGTGGTGTGGGCAGCATAATGCATAACATTTTATAATTTTTAAAAAAGTAATTGCCTGTTGAATTATCTTCTTGTCTTGTATTGGACCTCTCTCAAGAGGCTCTGACCCTGTTTTACTTCTGTCCAGCTGTCCAGGCTGGCGAGCCATGGTGGTGGGGGACTAGAAGCATGCTCGATGAGGGGTTGTGCTTACTATCCTTAAGAAACTAAGGCGTAGAGTCCTAAGTGCCATAGGTGCTTGGTCAAGGCTGGAGTGAGGGTTCATATTTACAGTCCATGAGGTGATGGTTATCTTCTCGCTTCAGATCTGTGTTGTCAGTCTGCTGTGACAGTAGGTGACATGCCTGTAAGCCACCGTTCCACCTTGTTAGGCCTTGCCCTGCAAGCTGCTTGCATCTCTGTTTCTCCCGGAAATGTGAGGGTGAGGGCAGTGCTTTGGGGACATCTTTATTAAATCATTCACAAACTTGACTACTTTAGCTTTTTATTAGTATAAATTACTTGAAACACCTCTCAACTGAGCCACTTTCCTGTTGTTTGTGATCAGTGCCTTTGATGGTGCTGACCCTGCCCTCTTCATGGAGCTCTGTGGGGCTGGACAGCAGTCGCCGTGGAGGGGTGTGGCTGTGTGATGGTGGGGCAGTGCCAGTCTTCCGTCTGTGCTCTCCCTGGCTAGAATGGACGCTGCTGTCAGGAGTGCTCTGGGACCCAGCATCACCACTCCCGTTCTTCTCCCTCCTCAGCACGCCTGAGGCGAAGGGGAGCCACGCTGGTTGCACCGTGGGTCAGCGTCGGCACTGACCTCTGGCCTGGACTCACCACACGTTGCTGTGTAGTGTGAAGCCAGAGACGTGCTTACTGAAGTTTCAAGCAATACCAGAAAGAGATGACGTATGTCATCGGCAGTATCCCCAAGTTTTGGATAATGTGTTGATCTCAGGAGGTAAATGAGCTTTTGGTGTTTGACAGCACATGTCTGTGTCGGGGACTAGGTGCTGGGGGGTCAGGCAGCCAGGCCAAAGCCATTAAATATCCCCATCCTCTTGGAGGGTACATTCCAGTGATTATGTTAATGATTTGTCATCAGATCATTTAGAGAGTATGACATCGAGAAGAAAAGTAACCAATTTTAATCTTTTGGTAATAGTGTCTGAAAACTTTAAAATTGGGAAAAAGTGAGAAATTAAAAATGGTTACATGAGAGCAGTTGGATTCCAGTGTTTAATGTCGAGTGTTCCGAAGGCCAGGTGTCCGGCTCCACGCTGGGCATTGGGAGATAACCCTTTCGAGTCAAAAGGATCCCTTATGAAAAGGGCCATGCCAGGCACCTGTAAGTTGCCCTTGCATTGAATTGAGATCTGGTGACAATGAGGCAGCTCTGGAGCAGAGTGAGTACTTCAGTTCTTCAGGAGCACCATTTGAAGCCTTGTGATATTAGTATGAGAGTTGGAATTGATCTTTTTCTTTTGTTAATAGGTTGGGTGCTTTTTTTTTTTAAATTTTTTTTAAGTTATTGATGGACATTTTTTTTTATTTAGCTGAGACTCGAACCCAGTGCCTCACGCGTGCTAGGCAAGTGCTCTACCACTGAGCCACAACCTAGCCCAGGTTGGTGCTTTTTACACAGTTGGGTGCCTAGAGATGAGTGATTTCACGTTAAATTGGGAAAAGATCATTGTTTTTACTTAAGCTGATGCTTCTGATAGTCATAGCAGGAATGAACCAACAAGTAAATTGTATTAGCAAATATAATAAGTGAGTAAAGAGGTTTATATGAGAATTTTAGATAGGAGTAAGAACTATGAAGTCAGCAAAGTAGGGTCTGTGGTGACAGCAGATGGCGTGAGGCTTTGGCATTCACGTCTGGAGCTGTGGAGGGACC